AAACAGAATCATAGGCTCAGTGCAAAATACAGATTCAGAATACATAATAGCTCGAAACATACTTAATTCTAACAGTAAGAACACTTGTCCATACTCTTAACCCCAGCATACACCTCCCTCAGAAGAAATGCCCAACCCACCATAAAAACTGTAAAAACATGGCCTGAAGAAGACTGACAACACAGCTGTGGTTGGACTTGTCTCAGGAGGAAATAAATTCACCTCCAGATAGGAAGTCTAACATCTGACAGTGTGATGTTCCAACCCAGTCTCACACAGCAATTCGTGAAATAGTCACAAAATTTAGTCTATTGTTTTGTGTTCTGAGAAACGATTTGCCCAACTTTTTCATGCATGCTTTTTACAAGCATGTAGCCCAAAGACAGTAAAAGCACTTATATTTTATCACAAATAAACAATATCTATGAACGATATCGTTGGGATCCCTTTCAGAGCGATCTCAGAACAGCTTCTCTCTGCCTGGATATATTTCTTGTCTTTTCTATTTGAATGAATACAGAGTTTATACGCAGCGTCGATGTTTGCAGAATGTTAAAGTTCATCAGTGTGGGCGCACACATCTTTATAGTGATCTCTATAGTTATTAGTGTAGACAGGTCATAACAGTAAAATTGGTTAATGCCTGACTGTCGGAAGAAAAGAACAAAAACATCACAGTATATGCACTGTCTAATAGGGGAAAAACATGTCCCAGACACGAAAGATAAATCCAATTGAAATGTACTGGTTTGAAATTCATGCTGGGGAACAGAAAAAGTCGGGCAAATCGTGTCCCAGGACACGAAGCAATAGATTAAATTTCGTGACTGTTTCACGAATTGCCGTGAGACTGGGTTGGGTGTTCAGAGAACAATCTGGTCCTGTATTCTACCAAAACAAAATAACTTATCACAGACTTTTGAAGAAACAGAGCAGATCCTGACCTGCTAACCATCAATGGGGACTGTGTGGAAACAGTCCCTGCCTTCAGCATCAGTAAAGGAGGCACAGCAGCAATTCCACCACCTAAAGATCCTCAGTAAAAGCTGCTGGTGTCCTTTTACCGCTGCTTCTCCGACAGTGTACTTTTGTACTTTATCACTGTGTGTTTGGTGTAGCAAACCCCAATCAGACAATGGTGAAGCAAACTGATGTTTCCAAAAACCTTTATTTATGTTCAGCCTTTAAGTGTTGCTTCCCACCATCACAGACTACTTCCTCATAGGGAATCCAAGGGCAACTTTGCTGAATGCTCTGTTGGATGCTCTGTTCTTTGTTTTAAAAATTGTAAGGTCCTTTCCTTACCTTGTGAAGTGTTATAAGGTAACATATTTTATGAACTGGCACAATACAAATAAAATTGAATTGAGTTTAACCTTGTTTGAACGCAAATCTACTTTTCTTTCCTTTGGACCATTTTCTTCCCACAACACTGTAAGAGGTAAAAGACAGACAAGTCCATACACTATACCATGTATTGCCAGACATTTGGAAAAGCTACGAAACTAGAGTGAGAAGAGCCAAGAAAATCCTCAGTGGCTAACTCTATTATGACTCTCCAATAGCAAACTCTCATCATTTGAATACCTAAAAAATGAACTTACAACTATTTAAACATTACAGAACCTTGTTTCCATTCTAGCCAGGTGTGTAATTTGTAAATCAGGAGCATTACATTGCAGCAAAATATAGCTTTTAACTATCAGTATTATTGTCCAGTCTGTGAGATGTGTATTTCTGCTATACCTGAAGTGCCTTCAAAATAAAAGCATCAGATAATAGAAATGTATCAACAAAATAAAAATATGGATTAATTTTAGCTTGAAAACGTTCATCATGTCTTCTTAGTTATAATCTAATGTTCAGGTTCTCTATTCAGACATGTAGAGTGTGGTTCTTTTTACCTGACAGTTTCGGCGACAACTCTCGCCTTCTTCAGAGATGACACTGACAGCAGATGACGTGTCAGCCGGCAGATTTTGACAGCCGGCACCTGCGGCACGCCCAGCAGAGCCGCCAGCTCCACCGGGCAAGCCACGCCCACACCGAAATGGTGTGTCGTGGTGAGCCCAACAGATCCGCCTGCCCCGCCAGGCGCGCCGCACTCCCCCGCCGGTTACTTTTTCTGGAGCAGGGAGTCCCAAGCGTGCGATCTCATCAGATCTGATCAAAAAGCACGCTGAGAGGACCATGAACAGGGACGAAGGGGGCTTCATGCTCTCGCACGCATTTTGGTGTGGGCGGCTGGGCGTGCCGCAGATGCCGGCTGTCCAAATCTGGCGGCTGACACGTCACTCGCTGTCAGTGTCATCTCTGAAGAAGGCGAGCGTTTGTCGCCGAAACTGTCAGGTAATAAAAACCACACTCTACATGTCTGAATAGAGAACCTGAACATTAGATTATGGATTAATTTTGTTGCAAATTTGCAATGACAATGAAGAAAATTCTATTCTATTCTGTTCTTGTTAAAAAAAAAGTCATTATGTGGCATTAGTTATGTGTAATTATGAAGTCCATTGCCAGCTTATAAACTCTGAAAGCTGTTTGTTCAATTAATACTTATTAATGGTCTACAGCATTGACACCTGTAAATGGCTCTCAGTTATGCACTGCTACCAAACATGGCTATCCTGTACTCTTTTTGTCTAGATTGGTCCGCTCTACATACTAGGTGTTCACATCAGTGCAGATATTGAAATATTATGAGAAAATGTGACCGCTCATCTGCTGCAGACTGAGATGGAGAACAGTTCCATTTTGGGCCTGTGCATGGTCAGGAATCTGCTTATGTTAAGGAATACTGCAATCATAATTCCATAAACAATATATAATAGCACAGGATTTCTGAGTTCTTCTGATCAGGGTTCATTGGATGTTTATTGCTCCAGGAATTAGACAAAAGAAAATCGTGATTTTCAGGTTGTAGCTCTAAAACAAATAACTTTTGTTTGATTAGTTTAGTTTTTGTTGTCTGTTGCTCTGTCTCTAGTCTACTTTTTGGTCTTTTATTATGAAACACTTTGCTATGTCTGCTCTTGAAAAGTGCTACATAAATTAACCACACCTACTTAATTTTAAATAACAAAGACATTAAAGCACAGATGTTTTTTTTTTCTATTGTAGCGGGCTTGTATTGACTTTGCCATAAACGCCAAACCTCTGACACGCTACATGCCTGAGGACACACAGTCTTTCCAGTATAGGATGTGGAAGTTTGTGGTCTCAGCTCCATTTGAGTACTCCATCATGATCATGATTGCTCTCAACACTGTGGTGCTCATGATGAAGGTAAGAACTTTTGAAGTGCATATTAATAACTCAATGCGCAATTGATACAGTGGGTTTAGCGTTTTTCAGGTGTTTCATGAAATTAATAATTGACTTTTTAACTCTGGAATGAGAAGTAGGATGCCATTTTCATGTCTATACAATTATACAGTACGCAGCATAGGTAAGTACACTCCTGTATATCATGCAAATGCCAAATGGTTCTAGTAATTGCATTACTTCTCAATGGGGTATTTGCTCTAAAAGTAAAAATGTACATTTCACCTTGACTACATTAAAAATACAGGCTTCACAGTAGGAAATCAATACAACAAAAATAGTGTATCTTTCATGACTGAGGTTCAAATCATTCATTTTTTCAATACTTTGTATGTCCACATTTATTTTTATTTTTAAAGACTCAATTCTCATCATGGAGGGTAACAAATTTCTGGAGACATGTTCTGCCAGTCCTTATTCTTCAGCTGCTCTTTGCTGGAGGAGTTGTGTTGCTTAACCTCCCTGTAAATACACTAACATTGTTGGTGTTGGATTCAAGTCAGGTGACATTCTATGCCAAACATCTGCACTCTGGGAGTATTTTGGTATATCCACAGCAACATTTTTTTCTGTCATGCTGCACCATATCATCAACTCCCACCTCTGTGCTTCAATCTACAGACTATTATACATGCCACACATGCTGGACCCTACCTGAAATGAACTAATTTATCTTGATCTCATCTGATAAAAAAATTTGCTCCCAATATTTGCCAGGTTTATTTTAATGTTCTTTAACAAAAATGTTTTTCTTGGACATTGTACGTAGAGGTTGATGTCTCACTCTGATTTCCATTCATAAGCACAGTTTTACCACTGATACATGTTCTTTTTTTTTTTTTTCAAGACTATATTGTGAACACACTGTCCATGACGTTATTTTAACTGTACAACCACAATGGCACTGATTGGTACTGTGACTTACTTTACACTTTTTGATTACTGTTGCAGCTGTGTTTCCACTCATTTTTACAGCAGATAGACACAGCCTATAGGTCCAAAAAAAAAAAGAAAGTTCCGGTCTTCACAGGTCATTTTATTACCATATTCATGCAATTAGATTATCGACACTCACCGCTAGTCAGTTTTGTTTGCACAATTACAAGTGAATTCCCTGTTATTGGCCCTGAGTTTCTAATTTGGGGTTTGTATTTTCAAAATAGGCTTTTAAAAATAGTATTGGTTGATTGTTCATCTGAGGGAACACTTAACCTGTCACCTTTGGAATAATGCAGTATTGTAAGATAATACAGTTTTGAGTCATTTGATATTGAAGTAAAATTCTCCATGGAATTTATATGAAGCTATTGCTTCTTTTTATTGCTATTAAAAACCTCTATGACAAGCATAAAATCAAGGATAGAGACGTCGCCC